CTTAACAAAAATTTATGAACGAGTATAAATGACCATTTAATTGTTACCCTTCTGCTGAAACTTTGCTTTGCTGACAGACATAGGGGTCGTGCCAGTGGAACGTAAAGGTGTCCCATCTAATATTTGAATAGCAAGGTCAACCGACGGTTCCTAAAATAGCAGGGAAATATAATCAGCCAAGAGAACAAAATAAAGTGAAGCATAATACTGTCCCCTCCCAAGTACAGAAACCAAGTTGAAGAGCAATGAGATTGCCTTTAAGTATGTGACTAATGCATCTCCTTTTACTCTTCCAGTCTCTTTATCGAAGTAGATCTTTATACGAGGCTTCTTTGTCTCCGGGTCCTGCAGAATTCATATATCCAATCTGTTAATCTCAACGAATTTCCAATTGTAAGGAAAATCTACACTCAATGTTTCTTAGCTTGTAACACGCAAAAAATAGACATCTCGAGGCTAAACTCCAGAGTACATAAATATAGGTTACCATAGCAATAAAACAAGAGAACATAAGCTTAGCTTTCTTGTTTTATTCATTCTAGTGTCTACCTACCCCTCTCCCTTCGTTCAACGGTCCAGTGTCAACATGCTAAACATAACATCCCTACGTAAACCACTTGTGCTATTATTGCACAAAATACAGTAAAAGAGACAGCTACATCTGTTATTGCGCACACATATAATTTATTTCTTTTCTTTAGGAACAATCAGGAGAGGAATTGATATTACCTCCTTGATTATCCCACACTTGGTAAATACCTCAGCCACCTAATAGAACATTCATCAAATTAGTTTCCTTCAGCATAAATAAAAAAGATCACCAAAATAGTAAACATTACTTCTTCAGCAGTAACATCATCAGGCAACCCAGTGACGTAAACATGCGTATTGACTTTCAATTCGAACCAACTATCAGGTGGTTTATTGGGTTCCTGCATAAGCAAGAAAAACAAACAAATGATCAGCAGATGTCCAGAAGCAGCAAATCAGGCACATCATAGATGTCGAATCAACTGAACCAAGTAAAATCTGGGTTTCAGAATTCACTACAAACGATGCGAGTCTTGTCCAGCTACATTGAAGAGCCACTGCCACTTTATTGCTAATATAAACAAGAAATGATAAAAGGAAACACACCTTCTTGTCAGACAGCTTATCCTTCACATCTGTTTGTTTTTCTGGCAATTTCCTTTTTCCATTATGGTTTGGTTCCAATGTCTCATCAACATCCCTGGCCTCTCCTCCTAGCAATGCATCATCAACATTCAGAGTCGGAAAGACTTCATCTTCCTTTGCGAAAGTCATATCTTCCGGCTCATATTGCTCACTTATGCCTGTTATATTCTCCTAGAGACCATCCATATGTGAAAATCAATATCGGCATTATATCATACAAGGCAGTTAACATCCGTAAAGGGTAACAGAAACATATCATATGAACTGAAAAAAGTCCATCAACAAGTCTCGCCATGAAAATGAAACACAACCTCAACAATCAAGCAAGAGACACAATTCATCATTTCAAGCGAGTACTCTGAAACTATACAACCGACCTGGGGAACCCACACTCTGAGACTTCTATCCCACTTGTATGTTGTCCCATCATCATCTGTGAATTCTTGTTCACCCTCTGGAGGTGATGATACAACTGCATCATGATCAATCCCAACTGTGCTTGGTTCAGATCCGTTTATCAACTGTCCTGCCTCTGCCTCAGTGACCTCCCTTTTCCATTTCTCAAATTCATCCTCATCAACATGGGCAAGGACTGCAACACAGATTTCAATATAGATATCATATGAGATAGAAAAGCTAAATATAACTTAGCAGTAATTGTGATATCACATATGGAAATAGAGTATTGTTTATGCATATGAATTTATCGTCCTGTTTGAAATGCATGCATTCAACACAAACTTTGTCTCTAAAATAAGCATTGTCTAAAAAACGTGCATTCTCCATATAGATTATGAAATCATAGGTTTCAAACTAGTTCCTCAAAATTCCAGCAGCCCTGTTTCTTCTATAAAAAAATTAGAGCAACCCTTGGCCCATTACCCCTTGGAGTCAAGCAGCAACTTGTATAGTTTCGAGGACTGTTTGATGAATCTCAATAGCCTTTTGTTGGGGTTTTTTTTTTCTAGATTTCTGTCCACTTGGTTAGGACTCATATATACAAGGTAGTACCCTTTTCAAACAGAGCTGAGAAACAATGACACACTCAAATACACACCTGCAGTTGAAAGGGGACCTTGCTGCTCCGTGTTGCCATGATTTACATCTTTAAAACCATGAGGCTCCAACACTGATTGTACCACTGGGACATCATCCTGTGTCTCCCCTATACTGGCACCATTGGCGGGTGCTGTATATAAAGAAAGTCAAGATCCTTCAAGAGAATCAACAAATCCCAAGTAATGGCATTCAGCTGAAAAAGAAAAACCTATACCTTGCTGAGAAATTGATGACATCAACTCAGGGACCGAGGATAAGGACTGCCACTCGCTTCTTCCTTCAGACCATACAAGTGTACTTTCTAGAAGGTAGCCACTTAAGAAATGCTCTGTGGATGTGAAGTGACAAAAGGAAAGTAGATGGTTCATCATTTTAGACCAATTGAACGAGCAACAGATATAACAGCTGTCCGTAACCCTTGCTTTTGACAACTGGTAGAACTGAAATTGGCGAAGAAAATTTTGGAGGTAAAAATGAATGGTCTCGGAAGGGAAACCCAAGCAAAATTTGGGTCCTCCGTAAGCAGCCAAGACGAATAATAACAACAATAATAGCAGAACCCATCCGAGGGAAAAATCCTATACACAAACTTCAAAGACTTCAAATGCTTATTACTTTGCAGTAATGGTGGGGCTTTCACATGAAGAGTAATCCTAAGCTGTGAAACTTCTAGGAATCTGGGAAACAAATAAGGCAGAATGAGAGAAGGACACTCACGTTGCAGTTCAGACGCTGTGTAAGGTCCGAGTTGCTGTTGATCAGCACCAAGAACATACCAATACCCAGCTTCAGCCATACACAACTGCTATGGAGGCTGTTTTCTGCAGTTACTGTAATAGTCAATGGATCTGATTGGAAACAAAAGAACCCAAGTAGTTGAAGGAGTACGACACTAAATTATACTAGCTTTGATTCACTAATCCTAATTGGTTCCTAGAGTCTAACAAGCAAACAAAAAGAATAAAACACGATAACCTGATTCATGGTTCCCATTAAACGTCCATCATCCTCCTTTCAACTCCTTCCCCTGGGGCCAACACGTCTCAGTAGAAACTCCTCATACCATTACAATGCCAGAACCAATTCTCTAGCTACTATTCTCTAAACTATTGGCCTTAGATATAAGGATAGCCAAATTACCTCTCTACTCATAATCTCAAACTAGGCAAGCTACAGTATAAAGAAGTGAAGCATTTTGATTCAAGTTGCTGCAACTGCCATTTCATTCTACCATATGCCCAAACTCTATTACAAAGCCCCGTAAATCCTTGCAGTAATGAGAAGCTTTTCAAAAGGGAAGTTCATCGTACCGAAGAACAAAAGGATGTCAAACGAGCCTTCTGAGAGAGGAACAATGCTGCGCAGCTACGCTGACTAAGAGAAATAGAATTTAGGGAAGAAAATGGCTCGAAATGGAGGTCGCGGACGCCGTTGAGGCTGAGAAGGGAATAAATAGGTTCTCCACCGTCGGCTTCTGACGTTTAAATCTCGCCGCGATAGGGAACCAACGCTACCGCTGGTCACTGTCTCCGTCGCCGTCGCAGCTGGAGGAGGAGAGTGGACGGAAGGTAGATGACAGGAGGGAGGCCGTCATAACTGGCTGGAGCATAAGGAGAAGAAAAGGAAAGAAACTTCAGGACGCCAAAGCGAAAAGTATGGAGAATGTAAGGGGTCGTTTGCTTGTTGGATTTGAAAAATGAGGGTTTTGGCTCAAAAAAACCTTGTACCATTATGGATTTGAAGAGTCTATTGTTTGCATGATAGATTTGATGATATAATTATGATGGATTTGCTATAAATATAACTAGCCATCAAGGATTTACAAATCTCACCTCAATATGTGGGATTTACAAGTCCGTGGGGTCCACGGATTTGGATCCAAAAAAGAGGAACAAATCCGTGGACCCAAATCCATCAAAATCTATGACCCAAATCCATGAAAATGACACCCAACAACAAACAATGGACTTGACTAAAATCCATCATGCTTGGGATTTGAGTCACAAATCCATGACCCAAATCCATCAAAATGACTGGGAGGTTGAATGACTAAATTGTAAATTCTATTTTGGGGTTAAATGTTGAAACTGTTAAACAAGTATGATCAAATTGCAACTTCTCTTTTTCTTCAAGCTTTGTTTGCGACAAGTTCATGTTGAATTATCCACCGATCAACAAAGTTACAAGGAACGATTTTCTAAGAAGAAATAAATTTTAAATTTTAAAATGTGTGTCCGATTCAATTGAAATATTTAACAATTCTTTCGTGAATATAATTAGGTTTATACAAAATTTAACAAAAGGATGTATGTTGTAGATGTTTCACACACATTTTTGGACAAAGTATGATATTATTAGGGATCCATTGGATTAGTATTTTAAAGTTTAGTGATTGATCCTATAGCTTTAACTGTCTCGGGCTCTCAGCTAATGGGCTTTAACTATGGGCATCGGTCCACCAATCACTAAGCGGGCCCAATAAAATAGCACAGTCTGAGTCTGAATCTGAATTTTCATTTATTCTCCACGACTTCCCGAGCCGTTACTCGGGAAGAAGAACAAGTGACTGATCGGCTCTCTTCCCCGCTACGTCGGAGCAGCTCATCGGGCGCCATTCTAGCACTTTTCTTGACAAGGTACTACTGATTCCTTGCTCCGTTCCGCCATTCACTCAAAACTGTTCCACAAAATATTAGGGATTTAGCCACGATTCCGTGTTTCTTCTCTTTCTGTATTCGACAGTTTCTGCGACAAGCCAAAGCCACCATACCATGGATGATGCAAATGCATAGTAGAATACATATTTAGTTTCAATGCAGTTGTACATCTTTAAGAGAATGCTTTCATTACACAGCAGAGCAAGAGATAGGTAGGAGATTACTACAAGCAGAGGGTTCTTTCTTTCTTATTTACAGGAGAGAAGAGCAAAGTAGCAAAACCCATTCCAGCAAACCCACTTCGTTCTATATCTGGCCACACTTTACTATTTATGGACAATAATAGACCAAATCATCCCATTAAAATCCACAGCTTACTTATGCACTGAACCCCTTCTGCAGCGAGCTCCAAGGGCTGGTAGGAAAGCTGACACATGCCTGGCTCGCAGCCTCGTTCATCTGATCTTTCCCGATTCCAGCGTTGCACATATTCGCTACAGACCTCATGTGCTTCATTCCGTATTGGGACAGCGACCCGCAATGCGTCTCAAATGTCCTTACCTGAAAATCAGAGAACAACAGGACAGAAAGAGATATATGTCAAAGCTCAACAACGCACGAGGAACGAAGAATTCCAGGGAACGTGACAATGGAGAACTTGGAAATTTGAATTACCAGTGTCTTGAGGCATTTCCAGTCGTCGACAAGGGGCTGGCCAGCAGGGCGAACAGCGCTGAGCACCTCCGAACCCTTGTTGATTCCGAAGAGGAGCTTTGCGATGAGTTTCATGCTGTTGTCTACATGCATTCTGTGTGACATGGCCTCCATAACCTGCTTCTCGGCTTCAGTCTTCCTCGCTGACCCTTCCGGGGCCTTTCGGTACTGCAGAAAATTGGATAGATGAGAACACGGAAATTGTTATGGGAGTCTTTCCAAATTTCAGCGACAAGTTCTTTATCTGATGGCAAAACATGAGCCTAAAGCGGCAAGGAAGAAGATACATGCACGTATTGAGGGGAGAAAGGAAAAGAGCAGGACACAAACCTTATCCCAGAAATGGACAAGATCGGCATCTCGTTGGTTAACAGCTTTAACGGGTGGTATTATGGCATTCTGGTCCACAAAAGTGAAGTTCTCATTCGCTGGATTGGTACCCATATACATGGCAAGCATGTCCTTGCTGAGTGGCATATCACCATATTGCATGACATGGGAACCATAAGGAGAATTGTCATTTGAAGTTCTCGACTTGACCTGCAAACGCAGCAGCAACATGATATCCCTCGGTCAAAAACCCCGATTCTATATACTATTGCACTCCATCTGCTGGAACACTACTTACCAACTCGTATTGCTGATGCACGCTCTCCCTCCGCAGATTGTGTACATCGCTGATCAAAAGGCAAGTGAGATAGAAAGTTAAAATATGCCATTTACTTTTCTGAACGGCAAGAAAACATCCTTCTTTTCGCTTTCTCATTGTTTGTTTTCCCTACTGGTTAGATAAGAAAACTGGGTTAGGAATGACAAATAAGAAACTCGGTGAAAAGATAAATTGAAGTGTGTACCAGTCTTCCATCCAAGCAATACTGTACAAGTCGCCTAAACAGGTTTCATATTCTGGCGGTGGACTAGGATAATCTCCAGGACAGTAAGTTCCCCAGCTGCTCTCTTCAGCATTTGAAGCAGTGGTTGCGTAAATATTTAAACCCTCGGGAAGAAGACCCTCAAAGATACTTCCAGATTCACAAGCTTCCAGATAGAAGACCTGCGGTTGTCACCAGTGATATGCATCAAGCAACTTGATTATAGGGAAACTTGATATGAAAAGAGTGTGTCGAAGTTGGGGAGAAAAACGGAACTCCCAACTTACCAAGCTTTTATAGGTTCCAGAAGCATGCTTCTTTTTCAAAACATCGTTCAGATCATCGGCATACATGTATGGGCTGGTAGGCATTCCTGAGAACCAAAAAAGAAAGGGCAGGCGAAGTTAATTGACAACTTCTCTAATATGCATAGCAGAAAAGCTTCTAAACTTCCCGATTGCAAAAGCTTCTAAACTTTCTTTGACTGTCATCAGATGAGATTGAGAACCCCAATAGTGATCCCATATAGATTGGCAGAGGGAAAAAGAAAGAACATGATAATCATTCATCCAAATTCAAGGGTTCAAAAGTAACTAGAGATAGACAAACCTAGCACCCCGGGACCTCCATGATCGGTGTAGTAGATGAAAATATGATCATTCGGACCACTGTCCAAAACTTTACCACTGCCCCCAGTCAGAGCAGACTTGTCACCAAGAATTGCAGCAAAAATGTTTCCCACAGTCACATCTTCCCCAGTATAATCCTGCCAACGAAAGGAAAACATGGTATGCCTGAGGACGAAGCATAACTTATATACACAATCACGATGATGCTACAGATCGATGACACAAAAGCAGACCTTCGGAACGCCTTTGTAAACATCATCACCGTGTGGACTGTTGATTATCACTCCAGGCCTTGGGTTCTCTACATTATAAGCAATATCATCATACATGAAAACAATGATGTTTTCATCTTTCAGACCACCCTTTTTGAGAATCTGGTAGGCGTGACAGACATCAGCCTACATAACAAAAACAGGGGTTAGCTTACAAAAAGTGTTAACAGCACAAGTAGCCATCACTGTAATCGATCATTGACGAAAGTGGAAACCCCTATCCGGAGTATTTCCCCTTATCTTAGATTAAGAGTACTGGAATTGAGAGACAGAACAACCCAAAATTTCCCATTTCGGTACTGTGATCACTCGTTGACGAAAATGGAAACCCCGAATCAGCTAATTATCTCCTTATCTAGGTGAGTCCCTTCTTCCATTATTAGCTTCAAGGTTTCCTCTACCAACAATACTACCATGGAGAAATTGAAATTACTAGGTCAACGAACACTCCAAGATCTCTCGAGCTAAGACAAGCAAACGATTGACTGATCATGAGAAGACAGCGGGGGGGGAGTCAGAAAGAAGAGGAAACCTGGTGTCTGTAATTCCAGTATCCATTGGATCCGGCGATCAATACCGCCCACCTAGTCCCCGTAGAGTCGGCATCGTCGTCAACGCCACCGGAGCGGAAAAACCTGGAAGCGGATGAGGGCAGCTGGATGACGTCATCTGCTTTATCTGGCCTGGCGGAGCTGACTGTGCTGGTAGTGGAGAGAGCTAGGAGGAGGAGCGGGATTAACAGGGAGATGCCGGCGGCAGCTGAAATCGTCATGTCCCCGACGACTCACCTAAGCTTTTTCCGATGAGGTGGGAGGGAAGGTGGTTGCTTGGGAGGGGAATGATTGGCGATTCGGATAAAACCAAAACCCAAGAGTGGCTGATTGCTTCAAGACGTGTATGTTCTTTATAGAAGAAGGAGAGTAATATATTAATAATAGGAGTGGAATAATTTTTGGGACCTTTTTTGAAAAATATCCACACATAGTAATTGATTAACCACCCAACCTTATATCCCAACAAAGATTATTAGAAAAACTCACTATAATTTTTACACCCCGATTTTCTTGTAATATTTCATTTAAACTTAACTATAGCTCTTGGGTCGAATCTTTTCTATAATGTTTTTAATAAATAAGGTTGTCGTTAATAAGTAAGAATGTCAGCTTGCTGATACAATAGTTTTATATAATTCTTTAATTTTCATTGTTGATTGCTTGCTCATTTGTTTAGACATTCTTATTAATTGGTGTAATTGTAAAATGAGATTAACATTTGTAACACTTCTGAATGAGCATCTTTCCGACCACTAATTTGGATTACTGATTCGTACATAGTGCATTTTGTTTCGTAATATGATAGTTAAAAGATACTTGAATGCGATGAATATGTGAGCCAGAATTGAATAATTGCTAGCTAGACATATGTTTTACTACATAAATGATATGAAAACAACATAAAATCTATTTTGACACTTTGTTCACCAACTTGAATTATTTGAAAATAAATTACGAAATAATTGTAAATAAATATAAATTATCCATAGGTTGTTCAAGTCACATGTTCTAAATACTTTACTTTTTTTTACGGGAAAAATACTTTACTTTCTAACTTCGACCTTCTTTATTCTCAAACTCCTCATTTTTTGCACTACTCGATTTTATATGCTTAAAGGAATACTATAAACCAAGTATAATTATTGAAGGGACTGATATTAAACAACTATAACAAAGATACCCAACTCTGTCAATATATTGCTAACAAACTCCAATCTCCTCTAATTTGATCAAGCCCCGTTTCTTTAAGACCATTATTAGGGTCTTGACAAACACCACACTCTATCCCTCTTGTATTTTTTATGGTAAAAGTTTTATAAAATTGTAAACAAACAGAAGTTGTTGTGCGTTTGGTAAAATACAAAACAAGTTTCTTACAAGAAAGGTATGAGGGTTAGACTTTCTTTGTGTTCTGTAATTCAAGTTGAAAGTGACTATTTTTTTATGAAAAGTTTAAAGTGACTGTTAGTTATATTTTTAAAGTGAAAATAAAATAGATTATAAATATTTCTCGGAGTCAAGTTGTATCACCCCGTTATCTTGTAGATTTAATATCGAATTTACAATATTTGAACGGTAAAATTATAATGAATAATTCTTTACTATACTCTCACTGGTTCAGAGTTTCGCTCATACTTCATAACCATACTCAATCTTATCAACTCAAATTCATATTTACATTCTATAAGACTATGATCATTCATGCTAAACCCAAATTATTTCATGAACTCATTCGATTTGACCTTAATCAAATCCTTGCCCGTTGCTAAATATACATCCTACGACCTACAACACTCTCTTCCTACTTCCCATCCATACAACATATTACAAGAAGATAGAAAAAGATTCATTGGTCGAAACGGAATCTTGCAGGCAATTGGATGAGTGGGTTCTGGATATTTTGTGGATTCACTTACGTGATAAGATTATCGACCTTGGTGGAGGCCCACATGTGGGCCCAACTGGTCGATAAAGTCTCTTGAATTATTGAACGTCATTTTTCATGATACGTGTTGATTATAGCGACCAGCCCATTTGGCCTCACTTGGACGCTCGTAGTCAGGATCGGGTTAGTGAATGAATGATTTTGACAAGTAACGCCCTGCATTTCAGATTTCACTAGGGTTGGCAATCGGTCGGTTTCGGTTTAACTGAAAACCGAGAATCGAGACCTGACCAGAAGCTACTGTCCACCGACCGACCCCAGAGCCCCGGTTAGCCGCAAACCGACCGGGCAGTTTGCGGTTCATGCATGGTTTAACCGGGGCAACCGACAGATTGATGGGCGGTTCGGTTCAATGGTCTAACCGACCGGCAACCGACCTCTTCTAACAAGAGATTACAAAATTAAAAAAAAAATTGAAAGAAATACAGAAGAAAAAAAAAACGAAGCCACACATTCTTTATCTTCTTCCTCTTCTCTCCTCTCTCTTTTACCCAGAAACAAACTTCTTCTTCTTCTCTCCTCTCTCTTTTACGCACTGACCTAGAATTGATTCCCCACCGTCGTCGCTGCTGAACCTGTTCCGTTGACGCAGATGCAGGGGATGGGGACGCGGAGGAGCTGCTGTGGGGATATGGCGGTGGGGGTGGTTGTTGCGCGGTGGGGGTTCCTAGCTAGATGGGTGTTCTACAGCAATGGATGAGAGGAGATTTGCATGTTCCGGGAAGCTGCACTGAAAGGAGCGAGATGGATTGGTCAGACGATCGATCTCAGTTCCTCTACATCTTCTGCCTCTACGCCAACAATTCCCCTCGTTTTTTTCTTCTTCTTTAACAGCGAAAGAGAGGGAGAGTTCGAGACCTGGGTTTCGGCCAAGAAAGCTATGTGAGACCTGAAATTTTATGGTGGAAGAGAGATATGAGTTTGGGATTGGGATTCAACCAAGAAAAGGCAAGGAGGAGGCGGGTACCTGAGATGAAGTCGATTGGCTTTTGAGTTGGGATTCCACAGGTGAGTTTCGAGGGAGGAGAGATCTTCTTTGCCCTCTTTCACCGTTGGCACTGCAGCGGAAGGCCGGGGAAGGCGAGAAGGGTGGAGGTTGTGAGTGCCTGCGACTGATTTTGGAATTGGGAATTTGGGAGGCGGCTGCGAGCGACTGCGAGGTTGGAGGCGGACCTGCTGGCTGTTAGGGTTCGAGTGGGGCGGCGTCGTTTTTGGGTCATAGGGAAGGGGGATCGGTTAGCCGGTTAACCGCCGGTTTTCGACCCCGGTTAGTCGGCTAACCGGACCCCTGATTTCCTCTACCGCCAACCGACCGAGGCCTTTGCGATTGGTTTTTCGGATAGCCGAAAACCGGCCAGTTCGGTTGAAACCGACCGGTTATCCGCTAACCGGAAAACCGTCCGCCAGCCCTAGATTTCAAGCACATAAGCTTACAAATGGGCTTGGGCTAAAACTATTGACGACAACTAGACTCATATTTTGGGCCACTAGGTTGGGCTTTGCGTTGGCGAAATTCGAACGGCAGATGACAGCAAAAGAGCTGAATCAGACGAGTTGGAGGTGGACCGGTTGTTACGGGCTTAGTGGATTTCATCCCGAGGCGGGGAAGGCTGGAAGAAAAGCCCAAAAGATTAACCAGCACGCATTCTTAAACCCAAATTCTTTGATCAGCCTCCACGTATTGTCTCTCGAGTTCAGTCATTACATGTACAACTTGTTTAGAGCTTTGGATACAATTTCATCCATGGTCGATGTTCTGCTTTCATAAATGGAGATTATGATTTCCCCTCTCCCATTTAGAAGGGTTATAAACCAACAGATTTCAATAATTTGAGTTGTTGGGAAAGGTTCATGTACGATACTTAATTACTTCCTTACACACCCTTTAAAACGAAAGTCAACGTATGTGATTGAAGTTTGCATAGACTCATCATATTATGTGCTTTAGACTTTAAACCAATGATTAATATTGGAGGTCGTGAGGATTTGAACATGTGAAATCAATGACAACTGAGCTCTTATATCATGTTATAAACCATGCTGGTCCCAATAAATCGAAATATACGAAGATATCGATGTATTGATACTTAAGAACTTTCTTACAAGAAGTACGGTTCGATAACCCTCCCTCAACGTCCAAATTATATTTAGAAAATAGAATTACACGTAAAACGTGTAATAAGTGTGATAGATATAATACTTTGTAAGTTTGTAACCCCTTACTTGATTCCTAGGGTTCAAATTTCTGGAACTTTATCGTTTGACCTCTCCTCATTCAAATTTCTAACTCCACCACCAAACACACATAGTACGAGATCATGGGAAATGTCAACTCCCTTTCCCCCTCTAGATTCCCATCCCTTACCTCATCTAAGATGCCAACAAGGACTTATTATTAGTAGTTTTACCGTTGGTCTTCAATTTAAAGATTTGAGGTTCAAATCCCTTAATTAACACCTACCAATAAAACTAAACCAATATCACCATATAAGAAAAATTACCTTTCAGCTACCATTAACGAGTCGACCCTAATTAAAAAAAAGAATATACACCAAATGAAAGCGACATACAACAAATCGTCTGAATTATGTGTACAATGAAGCATCTAAGGTAGTGCTGGAGGTCTCTATCAGTACCTAAAAAGCCCGCGCAATTGTCTTGCTTATCGACTTAATTGTTATTATTATTCCCAATTTAAAGGCACAAACTTAACAAATAATATGCTTCCTAGTTTGGTTTTTATGTAGGTGTGTTTGATATCTCTCTCCCATTTCCTTCTTGTCGCCATAATCACGGGACCCATAACCCCTCAATTATTATTCTTATCGTTACATTTAAAAATCATCAGTGGAGGAAGGGAACTCCCTCACCAAGAGGGGGACACAACTTTATAATCATTTTGTGTCTGGCCATGATACTTTACTTATCTCCTCCTTTCATGTCAAGGAAAATTTGGTTTGTTAGGGAAAAAGCACACTGAATCGAATAATTTAGTTTGGATACCGCACATTATTAAGATGTTGTTCGCTTTGAATTAAATATGTAGGGATTACTGTTGATCAAATACTTATGTCGCCCGGCCCTTTACACGGTAGGAATAAAAATGAAAAATTAACATTTTCGTTAGATCCTATAACAACAACCTTAGTTACTAATCTTGGAATGACTTTGTGGAAATAATAAAAAAAAATATAAAAGAATCAGTGCAGCCACTTGTTTTTCTCTTGCTTCATATCCTGCACTTTTATCCATATGCAATTGCAGTATAGGAAGATTGATGAGTCCGTCTATTCGGATCTCTTCGATACCCAAAAATTGGAAATCATCACACGAGCAGCTTGGTTGCAGTTCATGGCTACAAGAAACCAACACATGAAAATCCATCGCGACTCTTAGCCTCCAAATTGATCTTATTATCGAGTAACTTACTCTTCCAACTTCAAGCAAGAATTG